TATCTTAGTTTACTTTCTATTGCTGTGATAAAACACTGACCAAAAGCAACTAGGGAAGGACAGGGTTTATTTTATCTTATATTCCAAGGTAATAGCCCATCACTGAGAGAAGTCAGGGAAAGACACAAGTCAGAAACCTGGAGAAAGGAATGGAAACAGAGGCTACTGAGGAATGCTGCTCACTTACTTGCTCCCATGGCTTCCTCAGCTTGATCTCTTACACAACCCAGGGCCACCTGACCTGGAATAGCACTTCTAATAGTGGCCTGGACCTCTCATATCAGTTAATCAAGAATGTGCCTATAGACATGTCTATGGGCCAATCTAATAGAAGAAAATTTTCAATTACAGTTCCTTCTTCCATGATAACCATGGCTTGTCATTGACAAAACACCTAATAAGGATAAACATAATAGCCTAAATGTATATCCTTAAACTGAGACCTACTGTAATAGAGGAAGTAAAAACAAAATTTTGGTGTCAGATAATGTAAGTTAGGAACATTATTCTATGCTCTGTCTTCAGAGAGCATTATGACAGGCAACCTACCATTTCCTCTGTTACAGCTTAAATGGAATTCAAACTTTTTGCTGACTTAATACATAGTTAATCTGTTTAATGATAACTATATTTTCTCCTTCAAATGATGTAATGTATTTTGTTATTCTGATATTCACATTGTATATAATTTTGCATGCATAACTTTATATTACTTAAAAATATTGCATTGATTTATATGTGTGTATGTGTGACTGTGTGACTTTATGTATACCACATGCGTATGAGTGCTTGCAGCAGCCAGAGAGAGTTGGATGCCATGGAATTGGAGTTATAAGAGGTTGTGAGCCACCTGATGTGGGTACTCGGAACCAGACTTGGGTCTTCTGCCAGAGAAGTAAGTGCTCCAAACTCTACTGAGCCATCTCTCCAGCCATTATATCATTTTTGTAAGGCAGACTCAAACAATATAACTGTTGATACAGTTTAGCTATTATATTATTTTCCATTAAATGAAAATCAGAATACTTGTTGTGTATTTATTCATAACTATTTTCTATTTCATTATTTTCCAGGTTTGAAATTGTATGTGAAGCTTTATAATACATTTTGAATGTCAGTAGACAAATACACATACTTTTTAATCATTGAAAGTGTCTTTACAATTGCAGTACATCATTAAGATATACATTTAAATTAATTATTTTCTTGTTCTTTAATAATTATTACCATGGTGTAATTTTAACTGTTATTAGTAGTAACTGTGTCATAATATAATCTCAATCAGTTGGGCAACAAAAATGATCACTAATTCTTAAATCTCAAGATAAGCTAAACAGTATTTTTACAGAGGTGAAGTAGTGTACTGTGGTTTTCAGGATCATGCATCTAATCTTCATTTTGTTATAGAGGTGGTTTGTGTATGCACAAGGATGCACATTTACATGGGGGTGGGTTGCAGTTCCTGCCATGCCTACTTACATATTGACTCATAGTCTGTAGGTAAATGTGGGTTTGCTCTATGTAAATAAATGAGATGATGAGTCTTTTTACTAATCCATATTTACATGTATTTTCTGAATTTTATTGGTAACAGCAAACCTAGTCAATAGACATAGTCCTTTGTGGAAATGTACAGTGAAACTTTAAATATACCATATAAGCAGGAAGAAACATTTACACAGGTGAGTTACTCATTGCTATTCTTTGCCTTTATGATAGAAATGTAACATAAAATGATAGTCTGATAGAATATTGAGGTCGTCTCTGGTATAGAGAGAAATAAATTCCTCAAGCTGTGTGAAGACATTAAGTGAGAGGACTTTAGCCAAGTCCAGGAGGAGTTGGTGACTTTGGAGAGGGAGGAGTAGCATTTAGCAAAACAAAACACAGTTCTCAAGGCCAAGATGGATCTACCAAGAGACTGCGCTTGCTTGGTGTTGGATGCCTTTTGTTACCACTAAGAATGTTCTCTCCAGTTTGTTCAAGGAGCCCTGGAAATGCGGTGGATGCCTTTGCAATATTCGCTCTTGTAATGTTTTTGTTTGTTTGTTTTTGTTTTGTTTTCCAAATGTAACAGGTTTATGTGAAATAAATTAAGACATGTCTCTTCATTTTGTCATTCTTGTACTTTGCTGTGAGAAAGTTAGCGTGGGCTCTAGAGTTACCAAAGGCATTTTCTAGAATTTTAATCGAGGTAGAAGGAAGTAGAGTTAGGAGAACTTGAGATTCTGTCAGGTCCTACATATGGGTGTAGTTCAGAGTCGATCATGGGTACTTCTATTATCCCAAGGTCTTCGTGTAGGAGTAGTATTCTGCCACCATCATTTTATATCCTAAGAATGTCAGCACCTGAGTCTGGGGGTTATCTACTCTAGAAATGTGTCCAGCAGCATCAGACTGCAAAGTGCATGTGTAATGAGGAAAACATGATCGTGCAATAGGAATACTGAAATGCTGGTCTCTGGGGGCCTGTCTACCACCCTCTAGAGGTCTTCATCACATTCATTTTCTCTGCCAGTTAAAGAATTAAAAGACAAGAAAAAAAAGATTGAACGGAACAGGTAGCAGCAGGAAAAAATGTCAGCAGATAACAAACAAGAGAAGACAGACTCAGCTAGTAAAGAAAGGCTTTTAAGGGTGAGGGATTGTATACACACACACACACACACACACACACACACACACACACACACACACACACACACACGGAGCACACAGAGAGATCCACAAAGTAGATAGGGCCTCAGGGAGCTGAGGCTCAGTCTCTCCTCCACAACGGTGGGTTGGTGGGTTTTCAAGTCTTTGAGGGAATCGTCCTCTCCCTTTTAGAAGTGGTCAGTTTCATGCACTAGGGACAGGTCCCGATCTCACTGCCTGGGGGCCCCCTAAAAAGTTCAAGCTAAACAACTGCCTCACTTATCCAGAGGGCCTAGTCCTGTACCATGGGGGGATCCTCAGCTAGTGCATGAGCCAGCTTTTTGGAGCCTAATGCCTATGGTGAGATACTTTATGCAGTCGTGGTACAGGGAGGAGGGGCTTGGTCTTGCCTCTACTAAATCCATCAGGCTCTGCTGACTCCCCATGGGAGACCTTGCCTTAGAGGAGGTGGGAATGGGGAGTGGGTTGGGGGGAAAGGCTGGGGGCTGGGAGAAGGGAGGACAGAGGTATATGTGGTTGGTATGTAAAATGAATAGAAAATTTCTTAATTAAAAAAAGAAAGGTTGTGGAGTTCAGTGGTAGGATTGTGGGAATGATCTTAGAGGAACTGGGCAAGGGCACTGTGATAAGAATACATTGCATGAAAAAGCATGTTTTTCAAAAATCAAAAATAAATCTAAATAAAATAAATGGAAAAAAAAGAAGTGGTCAGTTTGAGCAGAGACAAGGAGGCTGATAGGCCCAAAAGTTTGGAATAAAGACATCTCAGTCTGGCCTTGCCATTGTCAGACTGGTCCACAGGCAGGGGCCCCCATCCCAGCTCCAAGCAGAAGCAAAAGCTTACAGGGCCTTTGTTTTAAGATGCCAGTCTTTTGTCTCAGCTTAGGAGGGTGAGGAAGAAGCCAACTAATCATCTTGAAAGTTCACCTTTTTTTCCCCACATCTAATCATGAACTTTCTCCCACTCTGTCTGCCTACCAAGCAATCTGTCCAACTCCTCATCCCTCATGCCCAAGTCATACTGCTTACACATGAAGGGATAACAGCCTTAAAGATGACATGTAGAACTACTGACACGAAACAGCTCTCACCTTAAAGGGAATAAGAGTTTATTCTGAGGCTGTTTTGAGTGACTATGGCCAGTACTATAGATTTACATTGCTCCAAATTTCATGTTCCAATGTGGAAACAGTTTCCTGAAGTTTTATAGTTCATAGAACAAAGAAAGTCATAGATCAAGGCAAGTTTAACATACACTGGTGGGTGTGTCAGATAGGTGGTATAGGAAGATGGGGGAGGCTTTTCTATAGGCCTTAGATGCTCCTTGATGATGTTCTTAGCTTCTGGGCTGGTTGGAGCTGGTGGTCTGCTAAGTTCATAGATTCACAATGTTTTTTTTTTTTTTTCTGTTAGCCATAGGACATCTGTTCTGACACAGAGGTGGGTAAGGAATGGCTGTTGAGGGTGGAGGAGAAGGTAATTAGTTCTGGATCTGTAATATTTCAGTCTTTCTGAAGTACTGAAGTTCTAATCAATCAGTTTCTGAAGACACACCTTCCTTCCAGGAGTTCTTCTTCACAGCACTAACAATTTTCTGTGAGGCCAAAGAGATGTTCCTAAATTATTGTTAATAATAAACATTTCTATCAATTATGCTGGAAGTTTGAATTACCTTACTATTCAATTTATACATAATGTCACATCAATAGTACTGTTATCGGGGGAGATCCTCAAAAATGGCAGGAAAAACATTCCAAAAGTGCTTCAAAGAGTTATTAAAATGTAACTTATTGTACACTATAGGACATGTGATATTTGTTTGCTTTCCTACATGTGTATTGTATTGTGATTTTTCTCATTGTAATGTTTACTTTTGTATCTTTTAAAGTATATATCATCTTATATTCTTTTTAATAAAGTTTCCAGGGTACTTACTATAAGCTTTAAGTTCTCATGTGAACTGATTCTGCCCCCTTGAGAAAGTTACAAAGAATGAATACTGCTATATTCTCAGGAAGGAACACTGTCCAATGATCTTTCTCTTCAGAATTTCTCACCAAATGTCTGATGTCATTACTCAGATTAGCCTTCAGAATATATATATATATATATATATATATATATATATATATATATATATATAATGTGTATGTGTGTATAGTGGATAACATTATATATATAAAACATGAGTGTATATATATATATACATATACATATATATTATGTATTCCTGCATGCCAAGCCACTTAATTACCATATTAATATACACGATAAAAAGGAGGAAGTCAAGGAAGGGAAACCAACACATCCTTATTTTTTACGAACTGCCCTGCACATCTTACCCTGAGTGTTCGTGTGACAGTCACTTGATTGCTCTCTTATGGAGTCTCTCCCTCGCCACTTCTTGCTTTGATCTCTCCTGAATTTCATGGAAATTAGTGAGAAAAGACTGGTATTAAAGACTGAAGGCTGATGGCCACATCGAATCATGTCTGTGTCCAAAACAAGCCTCCCATCCCCACCCCACCCCACCCCCACACTAAGGGAAGTTCCTTTACCTCCGCTTTCTTTGCTAATTTCCTCTCTTCATTTGCACATTTTTTTTTTCTCACTGGGAGGAAATTCTCCTTCACACTAGTGATGTGAAAGGACAGACCCTCTCACAACCAATGGTGAGAGTCTCTTGAACAGACAGCCTTCCCTGCCCTTTAGAAAGGACTGGTTAATAAGATTGCACCTGAGTTCCAGGTAGCTTCCATGGCCTCCACTTTAGAAAGATGGAGTTTGTAATAGGAAGGGAACTTGTCTTCCAAATGGAAATTCTGACAAGAGAAAGAATGTGCAGGACTGAAGGGAAAGCGAGAGGGGCTTAGAGATGAAGAGAACCCAAATGCCTATGGAGAACCGCAACTCAAACTGTGCGGGATGCAAACAAATCATTTTGCTCCTGTGGGAGAAGTAAAAAAGCCATTGGCTTGAGCAACTGGCTAAATTTGTTTGTTTGTTTATTTGTATGTTTGTTTGTTTTAACCGTTCTGCCTAGAATACCTTATCAAATGTAATTAATATTATTAGAAATTACTCAGTAAGTACTTTAAGAAAAGTCATGTGGGATAAGTAACAAATATTTTAGGAACAGCCAGAGGGGAGACATCATCTACTAAAAGAAAAAGATGTTCCCCTAAACAATATTCACCCAGTTCAGTTTTTTTTAGTAACCAGCAAAGATTTAGCAACAGAGCAGCCTACAAAGATGAGCTGGAAGGAAGGATGTGTGGTGTGGATGCTGAGGAATCAGACTATTTAAGATAGACATGCTGCTAGATGTTCCTGGTTTAATCGATTGTTGCTTTCTTGCTTAGATTATAGAAAAATAAAACCTATAAGATTGATTTTCACTCAAAGAACAACACCAATCTTCAGTCTGTCAATTTAACCTCGGATCAATCTTAATTCGTGTAAAGCAGTTCCCCTAAATTCAGTAGCTTGCTGCCACCTACTGATAAGAGCACGCCATTACCATTTGTATTCCGGTATTTGTCGAGGACCAGGATTCAGTTGCCAGGACCCATGTTGGGTAGCTCAGAACTGCCCTTTATTCCAGCTCTGGAGGTATCAGATGTCGCTGGGCTCTGCGGGCTTCTACACTCATGCACACATACCCACTCTCACATTCAAATACATAATGAGAAATAATAAAAATATGTTTTTTAGAAAAACGAAGTGTGAGTTGAAGCTGGGAATTACACAACCCAAATCATGGGAATCCTGGTGTGTGCTAGGTGGGATACAATAAACTAAAGGTCTGGATCTGTTAGATTCAGAGACTTGTAGTTGGCTTTTTTCTTTTTCTTTTTCTTTTTTAACTCTTTTGGGGCTTGCCACTCAGTTCCCAAATAAATACAAGGAGACTTATTCTTGCTTATGAATATCCGGCTTTAGCTTGGCTTGTTTCTAGCCAGCTTTTCTAACTTAAATTATCCTGTTTCTTTGTAACTACATTTTGCCTCTGGACTTTTTACTTTTTTTATTCTATATATTTTTCTTTCATTCTTACTCTATGATTGGCTGTGTGGCTGTGTGGCTGGCCCCTGGCATCCTCCTCTCCTCATTTTTTCACTCCTTGCTCCCCCTGTCCCCAGTCTAGATTGCTCCTCCTATTTATTCTCTCTGCCCAGAAGCCCTACCCATCCCTCTCCTGCCTAGCTATTGGCTGTTCAGCTCTTTATTAGACCAATAAAGTGTTTTAGGCAGGTAAAGTAACACAGCTTTACAGAGTTAAACAAATGCAACATAAATGAATGCAACACATCTTTGCATCATTAAACAAATATTCCACAGCATAAATGAATACAACACATATTTAACTAATATTCCACAGCACAGAGACTGATAATATGAATCCAAATCTCAGCAAAGATCAGGAGTAAAGATAACACATTTCTCATTTAGTAACCAAAATAATGGATAAATCAAGAGAGAATAGTTTGTGCAATAATAAAATATTGTCAAGCACAATAGCATACACTTATAATCCTAGCATTCAGGAGACCGAGACAGGACGATCTCTAAATAAAAATTAGTTATCTAGTTAAATATTAGCAGCCTTGACGTTCATTGAGGGTGGCCCCTTTCTTTATAATCAGCAGTTTCTAAAACCAAGAACTGAGACTACAGGACTCTGGTCACCACTGGGCCTTGAAGATACTGCTTTCCACTGTTTTTATTGAAATTGGAACACGTCACGAGACAGACTGGAGGAACTTCTCATCACTTGACACCTGTATTAGTCAGGGTTTTCTAGAATAACACGACTTAGAGAATAAAACATATATAAAAGGGCTTATTAGAATGGCTTATAGGCTAAAGTCCAGCTAATACAACAATGGCTGGCTATAAATGGAAAGTCCAAGAATCAAGTAATTGCTCAGTCCCTGAAACTGGATGTCTCAGCTAATCTTCAGTGTATACTGGGATCCCAATGAAGTAGGCTCTAATGTCAGTGAAAAAAAAAATAGACTTTCTAGGAAGACCACAGTAAGTAGACAAAAAGCAAAAGCTTCCTTCTTTCATGTTCTTATATAAGCTTCTAGCAGAAGATGTGACCCAGGTTAAAGGTGTATCTTCTTGCCTCAAGATCTTGAATAAAACCTTGTGTCAAGCAGACAATGAAGTACAGCAATCATAACACCCTAACTATTCTTGTCACCTTTCATCCTTTCTCTGCATAGGCCATGGCCAATATATAATAAAAAAAATGTTATTCAGACTAACTTCAAAAGTCATCACAGTCTTTAACATTCCCAGCAATGTTCCAAAATATAAGTGCAAAAATCTCTTCTGAGACTCATTTTTCTTGACAATAGAGCCCTGTGGAAACAGAAACAAGTTACAGCACCCATTTCACTGAGTACACATTGGTGTTTCAAAAATCAGGAAGCAGAGACAGAGCAAGGAAATGCTGGACTAAAGCAAGATCAGAACTTGGCAGAGGAAATATCAAACCTTGCAGATCCTTGTCTGGGATCTGGAACTCATGATAGCATTGTCTGGTATCCACAGCACATGGGCAGAAACTCTCTCCATCTCTGTTGACTGAAGTGGACATAGTCTCTCTTGAACCTGCACTTCTCTATACATCCACCTTTTTCTATACCTTTGGCCCTCCATTATTGTAGCTTGGATTCTAACAGCTCCCTTGGGTTCTAACAGCGGTGTCAATGACACAGACACTGTGAGTCCATTAAAGGCAAATAATGAACCCATTTACTCAATAACAGGGAAGGCCTTATATACCCTCCTCCCAGCGCCCAGTCTCTGTGGTCTTCCATCATTGAATGGGTATGATAAAAAACTCTGACAGCAACTAGGAACTGACAACTCCTGTTGCTAGGCCCTCAGTCAGACTCCAGGTTGGCTCTTAAGGAGTATGTTATATGCATGTCTCGGCAACTGGTCTGAGCCAATTTCCTCGACCCTATGGGCCTGTCCTCCTACACATTATAACTTAGTCTCTTCATGCAGTGGCCTCTCAGGGTCACCTTGAAATAACCCTAGTCCTGTCACCCATTGCCTGGCCTCACAACTGCTTTTGCACAATATTCTATGATTCCTTCAATCTTTCATTCTTTTATTTCTGCCCAAACAGTGCTACAAAGACAATGCTGCCAAGGTGTAGCATGAATCTTAAAGAGTCTTATTAATAAAATCAAACCTGGAGCCACGTTATTGGGGTGAACACTGGAAGATCAGAGAGACAGAACAAGCCATTGCTAACCTCACCTGGCCAACTTCTCAGCTGATCTTGTTTCCTCAGACTGGAAGCCTCTGTGTCCTCATATCCGAATGGCTCTCAGCTGAACTGTGCTGCTCAGAACCTAAAAGCTTAACCAGCCGAATGCTTAACCAGCCAAATGCTTCTAGTTTCTGGTTCTCATGCCTTATATACCTTTCTGCTTTCTACCATCACTCCCTGGGATTAAAGGCGTGAGTCACCATGCCTGGCTGTTTCCAATGTGGCCTTGAACTTACAGAGATCCAGAGGGATTTCTGCCTCTGGAATGCTAGGATTAAAGGTGTGAGTGCCACCATTTTCTAGCCTTTGTATCTAGTGGCTGTTCTGTCTCTGACCCCAGATAAGTTTATTGGGGTGCACTATGTTTTGGGGAACACAATACCACCACACCAAGGTCTGCTACAAGCATAGGGTGGAGGCTGGCCCCCTTTGGATCACTGTTGCATCAGTTTCATGCTGACCCTGTAGAAACACTTCCCTGGGCAGTGTCTTCTGAGCAGGTAACTGCTTCAGCAACATTGGCAGCACAGGACGTCATGTTTCAAATGAATCTGCAAGATGCACACTTAAATGGGTGGGATTTTGTTGTCAGCTACCATAGTTGACCCAATGTAGAATGACAGGGTTCTCTTTAAAGACACCACACTCCAGCAATTTTAAACTGACCACTTTTCCAATTTTTCTGCTCCATTCTCCTCTGTTTCACCGTGGTTTGAATGAGAGAGGTAAACTGTCCTCTGCATGCTCTCCTATCCTCAAATTTCTTCCACTCAACAAACTTGACCTTTACTCCTGCATTCAGCTTCACTCACCGTCTCAGGACAGAGGTAGAATAAAGTTCAATTTTTTGTTAGAATATCACATTATATGGCCTCAAGCTAAGTTCAAGTTAGGGTCTTTGTTCCCTTCTAAAACTTCATAACTAGGGCCTCCACTATCTGAATTTCTCTTCACTCTGGGCTTCCAAACTTCCAGCAAAATGGCCTGCTACACTCTGCTTGTAGCTCTTTAGGGTTGTTTTAGTCCAAAGTTCTAATACTCCCACATTGCTTCTGCAAACCAGTTCTGAAGGCTGAAGAACCTCATGGTAGGTTCATTTCACCAGTATCTCTGTATATTTGATGATGTGTTAGTTCCTTACCATCTTGACCCGAAGCAGAGGAAGGGAGATTGAGCTGACTACTGAAATGTTCACTTCTATTCCCTCTTATGGTCTGTGCTCAGTGAGGTATGATGTGGCACAACTGTCCTTGGAAGCACACTTACCCTCAGGAGCATATCAGTATGACAGGTTAAGAATTTGTTTGTAGGCATAATCAGGGGACCTTGCCTTCTCACAGGACAGAGGGAGGTTTGAAGCTTGCATTACTTCACTGGAGGAGGAGGAGGGGAAAGAGGAGGAGGATGGGGAGAAAGAGGGAAAGGAGGAAGAGTTGTGCTCTGTGACTGTGTGAGGGGTGGAGGAGCATGGCTATAGATATGACACACTGTGCCTGGACAATGATGACGGTCTTGGCTCATAGGGAAGGAAGTGAAGTACAGAGATTGAAAACAATCCCAAGCATTGCTCAGAAGGTGATGCTCTAGATAACATAGGAAATGTGCCTGTTTATCCTGAAGGCAGCACCTGGCATCTAGGCTGGATCTCTATTTGTCCTGAAGGGCTCTTGTCCTTGATATCATGGTCACTTTACAAGCTGTGTTCTTTGGTTTTTCTTTACACTGATGAATTCTTAACCCCTTCTCTGATGGTCTGAAAGTCAGCCTGTATTATTGTTTACTGGACAATTGATTAATTTTTTGCTTGTATTTACATATTTAAATTTATTTTCTCTCATATATTATATCCCAGTGCAGTTTCCCTTCCCTCCTCTTCTTCCATCTTTCTTCTCCCAAAATCCACTCCTCTCCCATTTCCTTTCAGAAAAGGACAGGCCTCTCAGGGATATCAACCAAACATGGCATATCATATTGCAATAAAACCAGGCACATCCTCATATGAAGAGACCCAGGAAGAGAAAAAGGATCTTATAAGAAGGCGTAAGAATCAGAGACAGCCCCGTTCTCTCTGTTAGGTGTCTCACAAGAACACCAATCTACACAACTATCTCATATATACAGAGGACCTAGGTCAGACCCACATAGGCTCCTGCCTGTTGGTTCAGTCTCTGTGAGCCCCTATGAGTCCTGGTTAGTTGATTATGTGGCCTGTTTTCCTGTGGTATCCTTGCCCCTCTGGCTTTTACAAGTCTTCCTCCTCCTCTTCCATGGAATTTTTGGAACTCCACCTAATATTTAGCTGTGGGTCTCTGCATCTGTTTCTATCAGTTGCTGGATGAAGCTTCTCTGATGACAATTATGTTAGGCTCTAG